GCCTGAGGGGTCAGGGAAGGCTTCTTGGAGAAGGGACATTTGATTTATGGTTTTGTGGCTGCACAGAAGTTCTCCTGAACATCAATCACCAAGACCCAGCGGCAGACGAGCAGATCATCTGCCTGATTTCACTAAGCCGGGGATTGCAGGTGGCTTAACTTCAGGAAGAACAGCTTGGTTGTTTTTGTGTCTGTCTGTGCATGTGCACCCTAGCAGGAGTGCCTGGCAGAGAAGGAAGGCCAGACCACGATATCTCCTCCTCCGCACCCCCCCCCACCAGGCATTGTGGCCATGATGCTGACAGCTGAGCCGGAGCTGACCCTGACCGAGCTGAGGCAGAGACTGATCCACTTCTCTGCTAAAGATGTCATCAACAAGGCCTGGTTCCCTGAGGGCCAGCGGGTACTGACTCCTAACCTAGTGGCTGCACTGCCCCCCAGCACCCATTCAGCAGGTAAGCAAGATGGCAGGATGGGCAGAGTCTGGCCTGGGACTGAGAGGCCTGTGTGACCTTGACAAGTCTCCCCTCTGCTTGGTGTCTGCAAGGAGGATTGTGCCACCTCAAGAGGGGATTGGACTTGTATAAGGCTTCGCAACATTTTTATAGGGGGTTTTATAGAAGAAGTTCAATGTGTTCTTTCAGCCTACCACCCACCTCCCATGAACTAAAGCTTTTACTAGCACCCCCTGGTGGATGCTCCTCCATCCCTGCACCACCCCCTCACCCTGGGCTTTGTCCCGCAGGAGGACAGCTGTACTGCAGGACGGTGTGGTCGGCACACTCAGGGCCCACACGGACAGCCACAGCCGTGGCCCACTGTGCCCCAGGCGAGGAGCTGCTGGGCTGCTCCAGTTTCTCCAGCAGTGGGAAGCGGCGGGGCGAGCACATCGAGGTGACCTTACCCCTCTATGTGTGTGTGTCTTCATGGGAAGCAGGGTTCTCACTTCTAGGACCTGATCAGCCCCCAGCCCTAGTGACTGGATCCTAGTCTCCACCTGCCAGTTGAAAGTGCTGACCAGTGCAGGGGTGGGGGGCTGCTGGTGCACATACCTAGAGGGCTTCCTGGAAGAGTGCAGGACATCCTGGGCCCGCCTGGTGCAGGGGAGGACAGTGACTTCCCTGGACCTAGCATCCCCAGGGCCCATTTACTCAGAGGGTCCCTGGTTCTGGGAGTTGAGGAATCTCCATCTTGCAATCGGATCGGTGCTGGTGCTTCAGGGGTGACACATGAACTCTTACCACTGTGTTTGGAGGGCAGGGCTGTGCCTGGCTGGGAGGGTGGGGGCCACTAGGCATTCTGGCCTAGGAGATTGGTTGGCTGTGAGTGCTGGCTTAGGGGCCAGGTGGGTTAAGGGAGTGGGGTGGGTCCTTGTGTCAGTGTCTTAGATTTCATGTATCTTCATTTTGAGGTCACGGTCAGTTTCTGGAAGAACTTTATAAATCACACAGCTGCCCATTGGCAGAAGAGTCTGCCTCTGGCAGGAGTGAGCTCCTTGTCCCCAGAGGAGTGGGAACCAGAATGTGTTGAGGATTCCAAGGGCTTGGACTGGGTCGATGCCTTCTGGCCCCAGCATCTGGTGTTTCCCAGGATATTTCTAAAGTGGTTTCCTCTTTCTGTCTTTGGTCCTCAGACTCGAGGGAGCCGGCATGTCTGTCTGGCCCTTAACGCTTTTGGAGGAGAGGGTGTCTACGCCGTTGCCAGGTGCTGCCTGCTACCCCAGTCCAACTGCAGTGTCCACACAGCTCCTCCAGCCAGGGCGGATAAGGAGACCCGTGTCCACTGCCACCAAGAGGGCCAAGTCCTCACAGGTAGGAGGCGGGGCCCTGCCTTGGGGTGAGGAGGAGTCCCTGTCTCCTGACATGGCCAGCCTCTGTATGGTCCTCAGGAGTACGATTGGTCAGACCTCTGGAGCCTGAGTGCTACTTGCAAACTCCCCTTCTGCCACCTTCACAGTGTGACCCCGGCAGGCAACTCTCTCTGTTTCAGCTTTCCTCTGCATAAGAGGGTAGCACCTACCTCCATGGATGGGATGAGAAGGGTGGCATTTGGAACAGGGGCCTGCAGCTCTGTGTGCCCTTCACCAAGGCAGCCCAGGACAGCAGGTGCAGGGTAGAGCAGGCTCCGGGGCCTGGAGTGAACCTGAGAATTCCACTCTCCTGCTCAATAGTTGGGCAAGTAAATCAGCAGCTCTGTGCTTTACTTTCCTCATTAGTAAATTGGAGAGGATGGGTGCTATGCACTGAGCCTGATGCTGGGATT